AATTCTAACAGTCAATTTTATAAGAAATTCTGATTTTGTCAATGAATTAGTGACAGCTGTATCAGTATAGATATATATATATATTTTTATCATAGTAGGTACTGTTAATTGTTCGACATCACCAAAATTGTTCTTAGGAATGGAAAAACTTTAGTCGGTAAAATTATTATTTTCAATTCGATACTAAACATGTAGAAATCATGTATGGTTAACTTCTAGATATAGGGATATCTATATTTATGTATAAGCATAGTAATGTAATGTTATAAATATATGGATTTCTAATGAACTTAAATACAAATGTTTTTGTAAATGTACCATCCCAAGCCTTTGAAGCTCCTTTGTAAAGCATATACATATATATATATATAAAACTTTTTTTTTTTGAAAAAAATAATTTTAATTTTCTTTGGCTCAATCCAATATTTACTTTATGACTGTTTATTTCTTGTCATCACAATTCAATGGTTATAATTATAGAGGAACTAAGTTAATATTTTTAAATAAAAAAAATAATTATAATAAATTAATAATTATAATTATAATTAAAAAATAAATATTTTTTTATTTAGAAGTTATATGATATATCAAATAATTAATTAATGTATGAATTTATGAACGTAAACTGCCATACGTGTCTGGTTCCAAAGGTTAGTGGAGGAGAATTCAGAAAGCTTTTTGCTATGAGTCCCCGACCCTTTATGTACTCAACGGTGGACTTGCTGATTTTCCAAGACCGCGTCGACTCAATGGTTAGTCCTGCCATGAATTCCAATTCCGCGTCGACTCAATGGTTGTCGTGCAGGACCTTTCTGCTTTCTCCTTCTCTTTTTATTTCCCCCTCCTCTTGATTTGCTTTACAGAAGCGTCTCTAATCCCACACCCAAAAACACAAGTACTCTCTTCTTCTTCTTCTTCTTCTTCTTCTTCTTCTTCGTCTTCCTGCATTTTACATTGGCTTAATTTCATTTCATTTTGAATTTGTCTGGGTTCCTATTTTGTGTATAGTCGGTTTAATATTATGGGAGTTTTGATTTTGGGCAATCCATGTTTTTGATAGGTTTATCCTTGTTCAGTAAGGTTCCTTGCTGGAGATGGCTGAGGTATATTGTACATATATATATATATACACACACATATATATTAGATATTATTCAGTTTAACCTCAATCTCAGTAATGTAATTTTCTGTGGAAACTGAAATGGATGACAGGAGGGTCAGAAGGTTATGTTGAACGTACATGATATAAGTCATGGATTGGCTCGAAAGGTCTCGACAATGTTGATTGGAAAGACCATTGAAGCCATATGGTCAGTTCCAAACTCGCCTCAGTGATCCGTTTGGGTGATCGATAAATGAAGAGAAGGATTATATACACACACACACATATATATATATATACATCTATTTATATATGAGATATCTTACACCATAACTAAGTGATCTTTCCATTACTAAATTACATTCCATCACAATTCCTTCCACCCAAATGCATGGGCCCTCTTAACTTTATACTTTATTTTCTGGCATATCCCAGTAAACTGAAGTTTTTGACCATGCTAGTGTATATATGTATATATGTGTATGTATATATACATATATACATATATATATATATGTTTGTATGATCCGGGTCTGAATTTTTTACTACGTCGCATTCCATCTCAGTTCCTTCCCCTCAAATGCATGTTAACTTTGCTTTATTTTCTGGCATATCCCAGTAAACTGAAATTTTTTACCACGAAAGTGTGTGTACGTGTATATATGTGTGTGTATACACATATATATATATATATATGTTTATATGATGTGGGTTTGAATTTTTGTCAGGCACACTGGAATTGTGGTGTATGGCAGTGAGTACTACTTCGGAGGAGGTATTGTACAACAATCTTCTGCAGGAACAACACCATATGGGAATCCAATTCAAGTGATAGATCTGGGTGTCACTCATGTCCCTAAATATATATTTGAGAAATATTTGCAGGAAATCTTGATTCCCCAATTCAAAACTGAATCTTACAAACTACTAACTCGCAATTGCAACAACTTCACCAATGAAATTGCTCAGTTTTTGGTGGGTACCTCAATTCCAGATTACATTCTGAACTTACCAAATGAAATCATGAACAGTCCGATGGGTTCCCTTATGAGTAAGTTATTTGTAAAACCTTGGTAAACTTCTTGTGATTTCAGATGATCTTTTCGCCTGTCTCAGTCTTTTTTTCGATGTTGCAGTGCCGGTGATACAGAATTTGGATACAACAATATTGGAGGCAGGTGCTTTTGATGATAAGGACAAGTCTTCTTCGGCACCCTTTTGTAGTTTTGGCAATGGTGGCGGTCATGATGAAGATGGAGATGAATCGGCTGATGCAGGTGATCCTGTTGGAGATAAAAGGAAGAAAGTGGAGAAAAGTGATTCTGATGATCAGGGTAAGAATTCATCAGGACCCTTTTGTAGTTTTGGTAATGGTGATGATCATGATCATGATGAAGATCAAGATGAAGATGGATCGGTTGATGCAGTGGCAGCTGCAGGAGATGATCTTGTAGATATAAGGAAGAAATTGCAGCAAGAGTTTTGTATTGAATTTGCTGCTATCATGGCTACTGGAACACTGCGTGTGAGTGAGGCGGCTACACTGGCTGCTAAGAGAGTCATGCAGAACTATACAAATCTGAATGCTGATGATGCTCCCACAACTTGAATATATAATATATACACACATATATATATATACACGTATATATATATATATACACACACATATATAATAAGTACAACAGTACCACTATGTTTATTTTATTGACACACATTTAGCAGAAATTAAAAAAAATAATATTGTAATATTTTGTTTGTATGTAAGAATATATGATTATAAATCATATTTTTTATTAGATTTGTTTAAAATTTATTTACTACATTTATATGCTAATGAAATTTATATGTTATTACACGATAAATTAATAAAAATTGTGTAATTATTTAAATTAATAAAATTATATATCTTCATTTTTTATTTTTATTTTAAGTCATTATAATTTTCTAAAATTTCATATAATTAACTATCCAAAAATCTCTTAAAAATTAAAATTATTTTACACTTTCTTTTTAAAAATTAATAAATTTTAATTCAACTAAAAAAAAGTATAATAACTATTAATTTTCGAATATATCGAAATTCAAAGAACACCCTCTTAATTTTTTTTAACTAAAAAAAATATTAGAAGAATTTAATTATTATAAAATATTTTTTTCGCTCGTAAGTATAATAAATTCTTTGAAATTTAATTAAATCAAATATTACAAACTGATACTTTTAGTTCGTAATATATTTAAAAAGTAATAAATTTTATTTTTTCGAAAAAATTCGAAAGGATAATATTTAAGTTTAATTTAACTATAAGTGAGTTATCTTAAATTGTACTAAATCAAATATTACAAACTGATATATTAATGAGTTATCTTAAATTGTACTAAATCAAATATTACAAACCGATATTTTTAGTTTGTAATATATTTATAAAGTAACAAACTTTATTTCTTCGAAAAAATTTGAAAGGATAACATTTAAGTTTAATTTAACTATTGTATTATCGGTAAAATACCTTCTTAATCAATTTTTGTTAACTACATCACCATTATATCTTCACCTTAATAGTCTAAACATAATTATATGACTTGTGTGGCTTTAGGGTTTGACTGGTTATTGGTGAAGAAGAAAAAAAAGATGATCATGGTGATGATATGAGAAGATGGAGAAGGTATTGTGGCAAAGGTTTAGAGAGGTTGCGTGTCATTTATAATTTCCTCTAAATTCAAACACTTTATTAACTTTGAATAATAAAAAAAATGCAAAGCGAAGACTTGACGTTGACTGAAAAAAATTCTACTTTCTGTCCACTTGGAAACACTGCGTTTGTTCAGATCAAAGACTTGATTATACTTTCTGTGCTCCTCTCTGTTCATCACTGTGCGCTTTCCCACTTCATCTGCGATTCCATGTCTTCTAGTCTCGGTATGTAACTTACCCGCTTAAGTTCTTTTATCTTTCCTTCTTGGTCCGCCATTGTCATCTGCTCCTGCTTAATTCAGTATCTTCTGTATTCTGTTTAGAGACCATGAGATTCCTGAGAGATCAACCCCCGTCTCACTACTTATGGAAACTAAAACCCTTTTCCTTACTGGTGAAATCAGAAATAGAAAAGCACGAATCTGGTGCTTTTCAAGGTGGAGGCTACAAATGGTGCGTTAATCAATCAATCTCCTTCTTTTTCTTTACAAATTCTTAGTGCAAATAGTGTAAGATTTTATGGGTGTTTGGAATTTCTTCACAATGTTTTCATCTGATTAATCACTAGATGTTATTAAGTATGCTTACTCTATAGTTATGAGTGTTACTAGGAAGTTGGTTCTCTACCCTAATGGAGACCAGAAGGCTGATGGGAAAGACCATGTTTCCCTCTACCTGGCAATTCAAGAAACAGCCTCTTTACCTAAAGGTTGGGAGGTTAATGTTGAGTTGAAATTGTTTTTGTTTGATCATTTGAAGAACAAGTACCTGGTGGTTCAAGGTATCTTCATTGATTCCTCTCTTAAATGTTGAGAAGTTTTTGGATGACCCAAATTGAAATAGTGAAATTTCTGTAGATGGTGATGGGGGAGTTAAGAATTTTCATGAGATGAAAACTGAGTTGGGTTTTGCCAAGTTGATTCCTCTTCAAACTTTGAATGATCCGGGCTCCGGGTACCTCGTTGATGATTCTTGTGTATTTGGGGCTGAGGTTTTTGTTATTCAACCTACTGGAAAATGTGATTCTATTTTGATGAATGAGGATCAGAAAAAGGGCATTTTCTCTTCGAAGCTGATGAACTTTTCCGAATTACCAAATGCCCGTGTGCATCCGAATGTTCATAACGCCGGATGTAGAAATGGGTATGTAACATCTAAAACCAGACTTTATGCAACACTGCATTGTAAACCTTGTATTTTTAGAATAAGGAGTTGTTTCTCTTTTGACATCAGGAAAATGATACTTGATGATTCGAAAGTGTATGATAAAGGAGAGAAAAGTTCCTTATCGACACTCCAAAGGCTTAAGAATAGTTTATTTTCTGTTTTCCAAAGGCAATCTGATTGTAACAGCCTTTCATCTGATGAGGAGCTCGACCTTGCAGAAGCCCGGTTAGAAGAATCAGATATGTCCTCGTGCTACGGTGCACACTATTGATTTCTCAGTTCTTGATTGAATAGTAGATGAATGAACACATTCTTGCTTACCTTGCTTTGAGTAACTAATTAAACTAGCATATGAAGAAGTTATCTATTTATTCTCTGATGCTGAATTTGCATGATTCTTACCATTATATCCTAGCTTTCTATTGATACCTTGCAATAGTATAATGTATAAATTGGTTTCTTTTGTTCGGTTAACAGTTGCAGGAATTTCAAGAACAATTAGAGATCTTCCGCCAGCTCACTACCTTTTCGAAATAAAGTCATTCTCGTCGTTGTTGAAGCAAGAGGGAGAGAAGCATGAATCTGATAGTTTTGAAGCTGGTGGTTTCAAATGGTGCGTGTCAATGATAGTCTCAACTGTAGGATAGTTTTGAAATTCGATAGTCTTACTTTTTGTTTCGATTTATTATGTCTTAAGGAGGTTGTCTCTGTACCCGAATGGATGCAAAGACAGAAATGGAAATGGTCATATCTCCCTTTACTTGAGAATTTTAGAGACAAAGACTTTTTCACCCAACTGGGAGATTAATGTTAACTTCAAATTGTTTGTGCTTGATCAGATAAGAGACAAGTATCTTACCATCCAAGGTATTCATCTCTCCATTAAATTATCGTTTAATCTTCGACTTAGTTATAAGTACACATGTATTATACGTTGGTAATGTCTTGACGTACATGGGTCTGTGTAGATGCTGATGGGACCGTAAGGCGTTTTTATGAGATGAAGACAGAGTGGGGATTTGACCAGTTAGTCCCCGTGGAGACTTTTAATGACGTTAGTAATGGATATCTTATTAATGATCGCTGCATATTCGGGGCAGAGGTGTTTGTTATTAGGCATAACTGCGTGAAGGACAGCATTTCAGTAGTAAAGAATCCTGCTACATGCAATACCTACACTTGGAAGATTGACAAGTTCTCGACATTGACAGACGAGTTTTATGACTCCGAAGACTTCACTATATGTGGAAGAAAATGGTAGGTTCACATAATAAGCCTTTTGCTTCCTAATGAAAGTCGAATTAGTTAGTCATTTTTGGTTGCGTATTGTGAATTTAGGAGGTTGGATATTTATCCGAAAGGATATGGAACAGCGAAAAACACATGGCTCTCCCTCTACGTCTATTTAGTTGATGGCAAATCTCTTCCCTTGAAGCAGGAGTGGCACGTAGAATTCAAGTTGCGAGTAAGAGATCAGGTTAACGGAAATCATCTTGAACGATCATGTAAGTTCACTCTTTCTCATCGTCTGCATTCAAATTTACGAGCTTCGATGATATTTCACTTAAACTAATTGTGGGTTTAGAAATCAATTCGACAAATTTTACGGATTTGTTCCAAATATAATCTTAAGAGTTAAAGTTTTTATCAGAAAAAGTTTCTCTTTTTTACGAAATTTGTACCGACCTTGTAGATTAGTTAAACAAGATTTGTTTTTACGAAACATTGGTGCGTTTGCCAAACTCGAGAGAATTCATTTACTCCGAAACGATTAAATTCTGATCAAAAAATTGTTTAAATCTTGGGGGAACTCCACCGGGCAAATTAACTTTTTCTTCTCTGCACTAGAATGTATACTTACATCTCTGTTGTATATGTTTACAGCTAAAAAATGCTATAAATACCCCTTCATTGATGCTTGGGGATATGGAGAAATGATGTTGTTGAAAGACCTGGGGGATGCATCAAAAGGATACATAAGGAACGATACTGTCATTGTGGAAGTCATATTCACTTCTTTAGCCGTCCGAGAAGTTTTACTGGAAACATAATAATGTATATTTAAATTCTGGAAAAAATATATATATATATATATACATACATAGATACGTATATACATACATATATATATATATATACATATAGTAACTATATTTTGGTCTTTGCTCTAGCTATATATGCCTTGAACCTTTCAGATCAATGTAACCAGCTTAATACTTTGTGTAGACAATCATGAATTATATATATATATATATATTGATATTTATGAATGCATTGAATTATTTAGTGAATTTCCTCAATAATTAATTATTTAAAAAAAAAAGTAATAAATGAACGCAATCTAGTAATTATAAAAAAATTAAAC